TTGATGGTATCCCACATGAACCTTAGGCTTTCTTCATTTTGTTTTGATCTTTTTTTCTGATTGATCCCTTTCCAAAGAAGTATTCAGGTATTTGCCTTCAATCTCACTAATTCTCTATTCCATTGATTCCATTCTACTACTTTGCCTGTACAATGTCTTATGTATTTCTGAAAATTTAGTATTAATCTTCTGGATTTCTGTGTGTAGAGTTTGTATTTCTAATTTTTCATTTATTTTGTCATTTTTTTCTTGTATTGTCTTTCAAAATTGTTGTAGTATTTTCTCTGTGTTTTCCTCAGTTTTGTTGGGGTTTTCCTTGATCTGCCTCTCAATTCATTGAAGATACCTAAATATAATTATTTTGAATTTCTTATCAGGGAGTTCCAGTGCTGCATATTCCTCAGGGATGTGTTTTGGGTCTGTATCCTGCTCCCTTGTTTCTCTTGCTTATTTGAGTGGACTGTGATGCTCTGTTGTCTCCGAAGCATTGTGAACTTTTTGTGTTTATATTTAATTGGTGATTGTATGCTGGAGTGACTTGTTTGTATGTTATCTACGTAAGCAGGGTACTGTGCTATGCTCCTTTATTCACTAGTGTGACAGCACTTGCACACTCACCTGTCTCCTTTCCTGTTGTCAGTCTCTCAAACGTCCTTGCCAACCTTGGCAAACAGAGCCTATTCTTAGGTCCCTGGAATCTGAATAAGAATGCTATCATTTTAAAATCCAAAATGGCTGCCACATGTAAACAATCAAAGTGGCTGCACCCTCTGGACAGCCTGAAGTCCATAGCTCAGGTTGTCTCCCTCCTTGCTGTTTCCCTTCCTTGTCATAGGCCACCAGCAGTTGTCCCTGCAGCCCTTGACGACCAGGGCTGATCTTTAGCTCAATTCTTAGGTCTCAACACCACTTGGAAATATTCAGGCTGTTGGTCCCGTCAGAGTAGCAGACAGTCTGCAGCTCTGTCTCTGTACTCACTGTTTTCATTCAGGTTTTTCTACTAGTAGGTGCCTAATCCACTTCTGTATAGTTCCTTTCAAGGCTCAGGGCTCCAGGAATATCTTCTGTATCTCTGTCAATTGGTTACTCTTTTCTTTGTTGAAGAGGGTCTGTATTGCTTGTCTGCCTAGTCCTCCATCTTACTGGAAATCTTTAAAAAAAAAAAATTTTTTTTATTGTGATTTGGGTGAAAGTTTACAAATTTGTTTGCCATTTGACAATTCATACGTTTTGTTTTGTGACCTTGATTGCAATCCCCACAATGGAACAGCCTTCCTCTTACCTCCTCTCTGTTGTTACCATTTCCTTGCCCAACTTTCCTATCCATTCCTGCCTTCTCAGATTTTTCCCTGGGCAAATGCTGCCCTTTTGATTTCTTGTGGGCTATTGTTCTAAGGAGTACATACTTCTCTGGTATTCACCTCATAGGTCTGTCTGTTGTTTCACTGTAAGTTGAGCCATGGGAACGAATTCAGTTCCAGACTTAAAAGGTCGCTAAGGGCTATAGTCTCAGGGGTTCCACCAATCTCTATCAGACCAGTAAGCCAAGTCTTTGTTATGATTTTGAGTTTTGTTCCCTATTTTTCTCCTGCTCTATCCAGGATCTCCAATTTGGTTCCTTTCAAAGTGAGCAATAACAATTTTCACAGTGCCCAGGAACTCACTATTCACAATTAGGTTGACAGTAATTTTTTTTAAGGCTTGGATCAAACATTCTCTACACTTGAACAGTTCCCATCTGTCATGTAGTAGTTGTTCTTCATACATGTCAAAAGAGCTACTTAAACATGTCCAATTTTTCTCTAAAGGAAGTCAAGGGAAAGTTCATTTACCTCCTATAGGCTCATACAGCACTAGGTGGTGGCCCATACTTGCCAACCTAACAGGCAAACAGCTTCATTGGCTCTTGGATCCAGCTTTGGTTAGAGTCACAGGAGGATCACATGATCTCTGTGGAGGCAATGAAAGCTCACGCATTTACCTGTGAAATATTTGCTGGTGATTTTTCTGTTGACAAAATAAGAGTAACATAAGCCTATGAAACTCCAGATATGTTAAGTTTTCTAAGCAAAAAAATGTCGAAAACTTATTCAAACTGCAGCATGAACATAAAAAATTTACCTGAGCTGATTTTATTATGAATTTTAATTACATAGGCAAGAAATGAATACGTTCTCCTTATAAAAAGTAGAAAAATTCAGGTAAGAACTATACCCCCCCACACACACCATCTTAGTTTCCTCCTTGTTTTACTTTGTTGCTCACTTTCAGCAATGGAGATAATATCCAACAGTGACATTTTAGAAAATTTTATGAACTTTTGCAGCTCAAGGAGACAAAGCCAATTACTACAACAAATTCAGCATTTCTCAAGCTAAAAGAACTGAGGAAAAATTTAAGCCTCGCGTTGCAATATTGAAAGATTCTCTGGGCAAAATACTGAATGATGCATGAAGCATCAAAAGAAGATGGCAGGGATACACATAGTCACTGTACCAAAAAGAACTGGTCAATCTTCATCCAGGAGGTGGCATATGTTCAAGAACCAATGGTACTGAAGAAAGAAGTCGAATCTGCACTGAAAGAATTAGTGAAGAACAGGCTCCAGGAACGGACAGAATACCCACTGAGATGTTTCAGCAAACGGATGCCCCACTGGAGGCACTCATTCGGTTATGCCAAGAGATTTGGAAGATAGCTACCTGGCCAACTGACTGGAAGAGATCCATATTTGTGCCCATTCCAAAGAAAGGTGATCCCACAGAATGTGGAAATTATCAAACAGTATCATTAATATCACACACAAATAAAATCTTACTGAAGATAATTCAAAAACGGTTGCAACAGTATATTGACAGAGAACTTCCAGAAATGAAAGCTGGATTCAGAAGAGGATGTGGAGCGAGGGATATCAATTCTGATGTCAGATGGATCTTGGCTCAAAGCAAAGAATACCAGAAAGATGTTTACTTGTGTTTTATTGATGTTGCAAAAGCATTTGATTGTGTGGATCATAACAAATTATGGATAACATTGAGAAGGAATTCCAGAACACTTAATTGTACTCATGAGAAACCTGTACATAGACCAGGAGGCTGTTGTTCAAACAGAAAAAGGGAACACTGCATGGTTTAAAATCAAGAAAGGCGAGTATCAGGGTTGCTATGAGTTGGGTCCGACTCGACAGCACATAACAACAACAACATTCAATCTGTATGCTGAGCAAATAATCCGAGAAGCTGGACTATATGAAAAAGAATGTGGCATTAGGATTGAAGGAAGACTCATTAACAACCTGCGATATGCTGATGACACAACTTTGCTTGCTGAAAGTGAGGATGATTTGAAGTACTTACTGATGAAGATTGAATAATACAGTCTGCAGTATGGATTACATCTCATTATAAAGGGAAAAAAAATCCTCACAACTGGACCTATAAGCAGCATCACGATAAATGGAGAAAAGACTGAAATTGTCAGACTTCACATTGCTTGGTTCTACAATCGACACCAATGGAAGTAGCAGTCAGGACATCAGGCAACATATAGCACTGGGCAAATCGGCTGCAAAGACCTCTTTCAAGTGCTGAACTTGAGGACTAAGGTGTGCCTGACACAAGCCATGGTATTTGCAATCACCTCATATGCCTGTGAGAGGTGCACAATGAATAAGGAAGACCGAAGAATTGATGCTTTTGAGCTGTGGTGTTGGCTAATGGTGAAAGTACTGTGGACTGATAAAAGAACTAACAGGTCTTTCCTGGAGGAACTGCAGCCAGAATGCTCCTTGGAGGCAAGAATGGCCAGACTTCATCTCACATACTTTGGTCATGTTGTCAGAAGGGACCATTCCCTGGAGAAGGATATCATGCTTGGTAAGATGGAGGGTCTATGAAAGAGGGGAAGGCCCTCGATGAGATGGATTGACACAGTGGCAGTAGCGATGCGCTGAAGTATAGCAAGAATCATGGAGCTGGCTCAGGACCAGGCGGTGTTTTTTTCTGCTATGCATAGGGTCGCTGTGAGTCAGAGACGACTCGACGGCACTTAACAACATAACAACAACAATGCACACTGAAGCCAAAAATGCATTTTATTATGCAGGCACAATACTAAACAATGGCACTGAGGATTACTGTTTTTGTGGGTTTTTTGGGGCTTAGGGGCAAATGCAAAAGCTAAGTCATTTTCTTTCTACTAAGGTAAACAATATAAATCAGACTAAAACTGCAAAGCTTTTTCTTACTTATAATTCATAATTCTGCTTGGAACTCTGCCTCTCCCTTTCAACATCATTTTATCAGGATAGACATCAACTGTGCCAAAGGCTTGGCTGTCTGGTGCCGTTTCAATGACCCCTTCTAGACTGACATGGTGTACACCAAAAGGATCCTCTGAGTATCCACCATCATGAGTGTGACCAGCAAAGAAGCATACTACACATTCATGAGACCAAATGACTTCAAGGGCGTCTCTGTAATTCCAGGCAAGGCACACACTGTCTGAGGACTCTGGGTAAATGGGAAGATGGCCTGTTAGTCAAAGAAAAAAGAGTTACAAATCAGTTAAGATATAACACTTTCATCATATAAATGGCTAAACGCCAGTACTCAAAAAAAAGTACATGATGCCACCTCATAATCCAAATGGATTGAGATCAGAGAGGATTCAGGTACATGAAGAACTATGTAATCTACAGTTTCTGAAGCACAGAAAGAAAGGTTAGACAGTTCACATACGAGACAGAAGAAAATGCTATAAAGGCAGAAACCCTGAGATTTCTGTGCCCTACACAGAGTGTCATAATGTGAGAGTACTGAGGGAAATCAAGAGCTTCCTGTGTAGGCCAGTTTGCAGAACTGGCCAGAAATCAGGCAGATGCTACACTGGAATCTAATCTCATAGATTTCCTTGAATATGAATTTTACATACACAGAAAGATAGAATCCTACAAAAAGAGTTTAGGTAGAACGTCATGGATTATGTGTCATTTTATACACTCAATGCCTTAAAAATAGTTTATGCCATTTTAAAACTGTTTTTCTTCCTAATACCTCCATGAAATGGAGGTAGCCATACCTACTTTACAGATGAGATGAGAAAACTGAATTAAATCAGGGAATACTTATTATAGATCCCACACTAAATATGTGGAAATAGTGTCAGGAATAGTTTCAATTCCTCATGCCCAGACATATATTAAGCCACAGCCTTTACTCTGAAGTACAGGTTCAGTAGCTCAATGGTCATTGCTTCTGCCCATTAAGTCAATTTTCTTTTTTTTTTTTTTTGTTACTGTTCATTTTTATTCCTAAATTTAAACTTACTATATCCAAATATGAACTCCTGACCCCACTCTCTAAAGCCCTCTCCTCCTGTAACATACCGCCATCTTAGCTAATGGCAATTCTGTCCTTCCAAGTGCATACCCAAAATTCAAAAAGTAGGCAAAATGACCTCTGAGTAGCCAAAATGAAAGTTAAAAAAGCAAACAGAGAAGAAAATTTCTATTAAACATTTTAAACTTTACTATAAGAAAATTTTACTCAGTTGTTAAAGATTGGTTTAGCTACTTTTTATTATTGACAGCAATAAAAAATAATGTAAATATTATGAGATAGAGTAGGAAAAGGGGCTGGATCATAAAACATGGATTTCACTCTCAGTTCTATAAGTAGCTATAGGATTTTAGCTATGTAGTTCAATCTTTTTGGGCCTTCATTTGCTTAACTTTAAAAGAAAGATGTTTGGCTGTATGATCTCTAGGTTTCTTTTAGCTCTAGTATTCCTTAAATAATAGTTAAAAGCTGGCAGTGGAAAACTAAAAAGCAGATATAAGTCAAGAAGTATGCCAGTTTTGAGATCCCTTATTGCAAAGCAGCCAAATACTGTCACATGTATGCCAATGATCTGTAAGGGCCCCTTATATTTTCCAAGCCCTGAATGACATTTAATACTCCAGTGACAGCAGAAACATTCCATCTCTATGTTTTTCTCATATCATTGTAAGACTAATAAGTAAAAATTACATTTATACATATGTGGTGAAGTGACTTACTTGGTATGGCTCTTGTAGCCATGGTCTTTGTGACTCCCACCAGATGACTAGGTAGAACTATGAAAATATAAGGTGCTTGTGGCCCACCAGGGGGATTAGATAGATTGCTAATAATGTAAACAAAGTACATGGCAGCGTTTTAGGGGTGGGACCATGGAAATAAGGTGTATGAAATCCTAATGCGGGGATTGGTCAGTTCTGTCATTCCACTAGGCTTAAAATGAGCCCTCCTAGAGGCAGAAAGTGGGATTTCACTATCATCAAGACAAAAAGAACAGCCATGAGTGAAGCACATTCTGGACCCAAGATTTCTGTGCTGGCAAAGAGCAGAAACAGAGGCAATGGAACTGACAGACTGGAATCACAGAGCTATGGCTTTGCTGGCCCACAGAGCGAGAAAGCTGAGTGCCTTTGGGCAGGAGGCTTGCTGGCAGGGTGGGGTGCACTAGGTGTACCCACTGGCAAAGCTGAAAGAGCTTTGTTAACACTTGCCCTAGTAGGGTAGAGGCCAGTCCGAGAGGCTGAGAACCAGAGAGTGGAATGCCTGTGGGCATGGCTAAGGGAAGGCTGTCCTGATGGACAAACTATATCCTGAGTGTTCCTGAACCTGAAGTGTAACCTGTTGCTTACTTAATAAACTGCATAATCATGAGTATTGTTTGTTGAGTTCTGTGTGGCCACTGCAACAAATTATCAAACTCAGCAGAGAAGTAGAATGCTGTGAAGGAGATAACTAGTGCCAGAATTGGCAAAAAGGTTAGAGGATGGTGGCATGTCTGACCTCCGCCTGATAGGAAACAGCATTGGACTGACTATGAAGATGGTGGGTGATTCTCTCCTCCCTGTGAAGTTACAAGAGGCTGGAGGACGCTGTCTCCATACCCTTTTGGCAATATGTTATAGTATCAACCATATGAATAGCCTCACCTTTCTCTAAGTGTTTTCATACTTAACAGCTTTTTTTTTATGCAATACTGAGAAAACCACAGTATGTAGGTTAGATATTTATCCAGGTTCCCAAACCTTACGTAAATAAGGGTTAGGATGGCATCCAGTCCTTCTGAATCTCAGTTCAGTCTTCTCACCCATTCCATTGTGGCACATCAATTCTAGAACAAAGGCTCTGGTCTCAGCCCCAAACCATATACACCAGCCAAATGTGAATCCAGCTCTTCTTGTGTGTGTCTGTGTGCATATGTGTGCACACATGTTGTGGTGTAGTAAATTATTTAGTGTGGCTTTTCTACCCATAAGTCTTTGTAAACTCCAAGGTGGGATTTTCTATGAGCAACTGAGGAGCTCCTGATTGCTGAAGGTGTCCACCTGGAGTATTTCTGTTGGGAGTGGCACAAAACAATGTTCTGGGAGGTGCCCACTCTCT